GTTTCGTGCAGGAAGGGACTTCTGGCTCATTCTTGGGATATTTAATCGCTATAGAGAGTTAATGTTTTTTTTTTCAATGAAAAAAACCTAAATTATTTGGCGTAAAAATTTCTTCTGTAGTATGTACATCGACGGAGGAAGAAAAAATATTTGTCGTATTTAGTTGGTCTGTTGGCAGAGTAGACGCAGCTGAGGGTAAGAGTAAAGCGATCTTGGCTTCATTTGATGAACCGGATGAAGTTGGTGGTTGCCATTCATCACCGCTCCTTGCAGAATCACTTTTAATAGATTCGAGTTCGTGTTGAGGAATGGGTCAACTAGACCAATGCTATCGATAAAACCAAACTTGTTTAGGGTCAATTAAATATTACTGCCGTGTTAACCTAAAGCAAAGATAGACAACTCGCAAAAACTGTTAACGTTACCTTATCAGGCCTCAACACCCAGTCATCTTGGCTGTTTGGTTCTTCCTGACAAAAGGTAAGTGCGCAATAATTAAATTTAAGGAACGTATATATAAAATCCTGCTACATAACTGTGACTCTACGGGCACGCGCGTACACCGAATGTCATCACATTCACGGCATGAAAACGTGACGTGAGTTCTCTGCTACTCGTTGACTGCATTTCCTTTATATTTGTTTATTGTTGCATTCCTATAATTAACTATGTTTCAGAAGTAATCAGAGAGAACACGAAGACGCTATCTTAAGAGTGACGACAACGAAGAATATGGTGAAGTTGTGGAGACTTTTAAGAAAAGACGCGCAACAGAAAAGATGGCGCTAGAAGCAAGGTTTAAAGGCAGAATTTTCTCTCAATTGATCGATTATGAGAAACACGCGTCCTTTGTGGTAAATGCAGACACCTTTATGACAAAGATTATTGTAATCTAAACTTAACGAAGTCATGTTGGGTACCTCTGTCATTACCTATTTGAAGGCAAATACCGGACTGTCCCCCAGTGTTGAAACACAATCAGCAGAATCAGAAGTGGTTAAAAGATATGCAATTACTTTGAAGAAATTTTAAGGTATTCTTTTAATAGTAAACGCCTTTACAGTACATATAAACAGCTATTTAAGGGAACAAAACATAATAAGGTAAACGTTCGTTACGCAAATGCACTTTCACCGATTGCCCGATATCCCGATTGATCAATATCTAATAGCTTGCATTTAAAATCCATCTCTGCTAAATATGCAGATTACAATCAATGGATATCCATAACTATGTATCTAATATACTAGACAGATGGCAAGCAGCTGTTTGCAACCCTAATAGCAATTTGTAGACCTGTGGACCTGATAGCTTATACACACAATATCTCACATGTCATTGGCTAAAACTAATGCGCAATGATAGGTCAGTGTTCGTGAATGTGAATGCGTGCAATCTGATTGGCTACTGGAATTGTTGTCGGTGGCAACATCTTTGAACGCCATTCTATCATATCGCACGTGGGCTGTTTAACGCGTTAGTGGGCTCTGAAATGCGGTGGTTTTATTTGTGGCGTAAATTCTAATATCAGCCTTTTTTGTAGTATGTGGAAACCTACGCCAAGAAATACTGTCTGGAGACGAGCACAACGCGATTATAATGCGTTGCTGCGGAAAGTTGAGGAGGATGACATGGAAGGTTCGTCGACCACGTCTTCTTCTGATGAATATTGTTCGTCAACCGAATCATGCAACTCTTCAACGTATGGACAATAGGACAGCAGCACAGACTCCCTGGGGGAATCAAGTTGTTGGAGTCTTCCAACT